ATGTTTTGTTTGACAGGCGATTTATTCACAGTCAAAACAATGGATCGTGATTGGAGAGGGAGCAGGACAGAAGAAAACAAAGACAATAATAGTGAGCTATTTGGCAACACCTACACATGCAGACACACAGCGATCCCCTGCGTTATCATTCATTTGACCATCACCAATTTGCAGTGGCACATCAACCATAAGGCTGCGCAACCATTACAGGGAAAACTACAGCAGCACCGGACTTTGACGACCATACTCTCCACAGCAGAGCAGAGGCCTGTTTGGCATCACACACTGTTCTGCCTGTTCTGACAGTGTGTGACTTTATTTTGCAATGCTTTCACTCAAGGCCTCCCAACCAATAGAATGCCACGTGTAGTGTTTGATAAATGAAATTGTCCCGCCCTCAGCCCCTGATCATGCCACCTAGCACTGGCTCTATGAGGCAAATTGTGATTTGTCGATATGAACTATACAAATAAATATAGATTGATTGATTGATTGATAAGAAAAATATGTTAATAGCCTATAGGACTCCTAAAGGTTTACTTTTAACTGTGTTCAAGCTCAGGGTGATTTCATTTGTAAACCCTCCACATGGTAGTCTATTTGTGGCTGCACCAAAGAAAGAAGATAGAATTTTTTTTTAAGAGCATTAGAGAAATCTGAGAGTAAAGCTACCTGAGCTTGAACAGAGGATCTGAAGCTGGAGCACAGGATATTTGTTCAAGCAGCAAAATATCTTGTGCGCAAGTGCACAGTTTGAGCACAGGCAGAGCAAATCTAAGCAAATCAGAACATGAAATCAATAAGTCAAACTGAAAGAACATGCTTTTGAAGAAAGTCAGGAGAAAAAGTCTACCATAAAACATTTCACAAAACAGGATGAAAGCACATCGAACCATTATATTTCCAGCTCAGTACGGGTGGTGGTAACACAGTGAAACAAATATGCAGCGCAGAGCGATGCCAACTCTGAAAGCAATTCTTCCTTTTCTCCTGAGTAGCTTGTCAGAAGATTGAGTCGGCCACTCCATTCCATTCAAGGCAGCTTTCCATATTTGAGTGCTTCTCGGCACCAACCCTTACTGCACTTTCATTAAGGTTTGGCATGCATTATACAAATAGGAAATGCTTAAGAGTGCAGACAGGCTCACATTAGATGAGCTCCCCCCTTAACTTTTTTCAACAACAACAAAAAGCCCATGTTTTTACGTCAACAGATGGTATTTACTCAGATTACAGACAGCAAATCAGGTCTAGAGTGACGCTTTCTTCGCGAGCCCATTGGCAGTCCAGAAAGCAGAAATTGTGTGTGCAAGTCCATTGAGATACAAGGAGAGCGACACCGAATTAGAGATGATAGTGTTATTCATCAGCAGCCAAAATCCAATAGCAATATCTTCTGATCGCTAAATGAAAAGTTTCCCCAGCAGAGCTTTCTCTGAAAAGAAAACACCCGTTTTCTATTATTCCGTGATCTAAACACGAAAAGCACAAAGATCCAGCCCTCATCAGGCTGTACAGTCGACTGCAGCGTCCTAATTGCTTTGATTATGAACAATATGTTTCTCGATGTTCCTCTGGAGAGACGGTGCCTCGCAGTGAGGTGGGGGGAAACCAGGATGAAACCGCTTTGAAGCCGACCACCTCTGCATGTCATCTCCTCTCAGACGTGTTGAGTAGACAGAATTACTGGGGCGCTCAGAAAATGGGCCTGTGCTCAAAAGTGACACCGTTTGTGATCTGCATGTGCTGAATGGAGCTAAAAGATACGTAAGTGAGACGTTCATTCCTGCACATGTAGCACAGTTTCAGCCCTGAGTTTAAAGAGTCAATCCCACAAAGATGTCTTGCCTCGTTTCATCAACATCAACAGTCATATTCGTAATATATCTGGAAATAAAAGTCATCACAGCATAAGGCACAAAAAAGCAAAAACAGAAAAGAACATCAAACGCCACCAGAGCACTTCCGCTATTTCAGCTATTCTCTTAAATTTCAATAAATGCCTCAGCAACATCAGCCTGAGCCCTTTCTGGGTCCAAATTGGAATCATCAGTTTACAAAATAAACCAGTAATTGCCAATGTAATGTAATGAAAATGGATCCCTAATAGACATTTCTCATCAGCAGTATACCTGTTTTCAGACACCGAAACTGAGGTCATTACTTAACTGAATGGTTTCTGGAGGCAAAATTGGAGAGTGGAACTTATTGGTTTTTGGTCAGAAGCAAAGAAAACAGCTGCAATGTTTGTAGAATCGCAAAATAATGGAACTTAAACTCTACCAACATACTGCAAGTACAGACTTAACATAGGAATACCACTCAATTTAAGAATAACAATCCCTGGGAGATTATGTTATCGTTAAAGTTTGTTTGTTTCGCAAAAACTACTGAACGGATTACAGTGAAACTTGGTGGAAGGATGCGGTAAGAGACCTGAGGATCCAGGATCCAGATAAGAGTGTTTTTCAACCTTTTATGTTGATTTGCCAGACATGAATTCATGGATCTTGATGTTTAAGGGACTGATATTTATGAGTTTGTGCGATTTGGTGTAGAAAGTGAAAATCCTGGCTCCACACCAAAACTTTATGGCTTCCTCCCTGACCCATACTGCATCCTTCCACCAATTTTCTTTGTAATCTGTCCAGTAAGTTTTGCGTAATCCTGTTTCACAAAGAAAAGAAAATGCAGATGAAAACACAGCCTACTTGGTGGTTCCACTGATTATATTATATACAGATTAAAATAAACTGATGAGGTCAATTTGATTTTAATATTCTAACTTTGGTTACATTTCTTTCTTTCGGACACTTGAGGTGTCAAACTTCTTGCTAAATGCACTTTTATAAATTTTTTCCATATTTCTGTTTTCACTCCCCAATTCATTTCCAGTGCAGCCTCACATCAAGGTGACCTTAAAAAAAAGAGAGAATAGGACAAAACCACTATGTCATTTGTGGCCGCAGGGCTGAGTGTGAAGGTGTTCATTAATCCAGAGTGGTTTCCCATTATTCCATACGGGAGTCACATATATTACATCTGAAATTCAGTGGTATTCCTCTTTAACGCAGAACCAACTGTTAATGTGCCCAGGGACAGATTATTCCCATTAAATGTCAAACTCGCTTCACATTCAATCACATGGTTTAGCATTTAGGTGTCCTAAGGATTCAAAAGACAGAAAGAAGTGTTTTAAAAAGAGACATGATTGAAAACTTTATCATTTTCTTCTATAAAAAGATGTTGGCATGAACAGAAATGACATAATACCAACAACCACCATTACTCATTTGCATACAACATATGGACCTTGTAACATTAAAATATTTAGCACCCATATCGTGATATGTTTGTGTTTGTAGCAAGAAAACCACATTTTAGAGATGAAGAATGAAACCTTTGACCTGCAGGGGGAGTGAAGACAAATCCATCACCTGAACAAGCACCATTTCAAAACACTAGACTGCAGATTGCACTGCAGATGTTTTCCAGCTGCTCTGTCTTTACAGTGCGGTTTCCAACCACTGAGAGGGGATTTAAAACAAAAAAACAAAATTTTGCAAAATGGAAACTCTTTTATTTTCAAAAAAAGCAACAGATTACACAGTTAACTTTCAGCAAATGCAATCCTAAACTGAAACTATACTCACATTCGGGACTTCAAAAAAAATGAAAAGACTCACATACTTACACACAATCTATCTATAATATACAAAAAAGAATACATAATAAATATTAAAATGGCCACAAGAGAGAAAAAATTGAAAACAATCAGTAGAGAGCAAATGTAGGGAAAGTAGAAACAAGACGGTGTGCCTTAAATGTCTTTTTTTGTCCTTTTTTTTTTTTTTACAGTTTTTTCAAGATTTCATACTAAGGCTCTGGTCTTGAAGTGACTGTTGTCTGATCCACACACACACACACACACACACACACACACACACACACACAC